CTGTGTCCAACACGATTTAATTGAAAACGATGGGTAAATCTTAATTTATTTATTTGTATATTTAATTTATAACACAATGGTAATATTGTTTTCTCGTGCATCACACGGACCACGCACTAGTAATGAAGTATAAGCACAACTGAAATTAATTTTTGATCTATCTAGAGATTTAAGCAGTTATACAATACTTTATTATTTTTGTATAATACAATTATATACAAATTTTAGTTATTATATTCTATTTTAGATTTATACACAAATTATAAAGTATCCCTCTTCTTCTAAAAATAATATTTTCCCACTTTTTATCCATATTTTTAGAGGAGATTCCTCCATATATATTAATTCAAAATGTTTTGAACCTAAGTGACAAATTTTCACGTTTCGGATGCTGACATGGCAAAAATCTATGCTTCGTGATGTTTTTATATTATTTTTGCTGTAGAATTAAGTTTGGTATTAGACATAAATAACTTTTATCATATATTTCTTAACTCAACACTCGTGTTGTACACGAGTATTTTACTAATAGTTCATATTACCAAACTCATATAGATTATCATGGCGAAGGGAATGATCAAACAAGCCAAGAATAATGCAATGATAATAAGCAAAACACAAAAGACTAGTGATCACCAACATTTTAACATCATTTATTGTTCAAACTGTAGTTTTGATCAATATTTTCTACACATTGTTCTTTTTTACCTACAAGGGCACATCAACAGGGTAATCCTGCTTGTTTTTCACAACAAATTCTCTAAGCGATTTCTCTTGTTCGTGTAAATTCGACGGCACACGATCATAAACGTCCGTAAACAATTCCTCGAGCGAAGGCTTCTCGATTTTACCCGCCTCGTGAATCGCGCTCAACACCTGCACCGAAAAAAAAAATGAAGCATTTCGAACAAAAGTAGTATATAGTACCGATTACTTACTTAGTATGCATATAGATGTTGGTTAGTTTAGTTTAATTTTCCATTTTTGCCCCTAACCTGTTTTCTTGTGCTCGAACGAAGCTCGTTTTCATCCTCGTCAGTCCACCACCCGTTTCTCTGAACCCATTTTCTGAATCTGTTAGTCGGGTTCCGAGCTGTTTTCCAGTGGTCTATCTCGTTAGACGGTCTATATTTGGTTGAATCATCGGATGTCGAGTGGTGGCCCACTCGGTAAGTGAGGGCCTAACGTACACACATTGACATGGAAGAAAACTCAGCATTAGGAAATATAATTAAGCTCGTTTATAATAAGTTTTCCTTAACTCATTAGATCGTTTAATTATAAGTTTCACCTCGACTAGTACCGGTTTGTGTTCTCGAATGGTCATTTCCCGAGCCACACGAATCGCACTGTAGACAGCAAGAGTGTCGTTTCCATCAACTCGGATGCTACGAATTCCGTACGCTTGTCCCTTAACAACCACACCATCACCTGCCAAAGATGAAATTAGCCAAATGTTCGGGTTTATCAGGAAAAACTGGAAATTGGAGATTTAGTCCTGAAATAGACCGGTGATCATGTTGATTTACAAAAAAAACTGCAACTAAAAAAAAAAAAGACTTTTGGTCATTCCACCGCAAAAGCCGGTCCCTGTGACCTTGCCAACTAACATATGCAACTCAGCAGTCGGTCAAATTGACCGGCTTTTGCGAGTGGAAGGATCCAAAGTCAAGTTTTTTTGCAATTACAGAGTGTTCTGTAAAATCAACGTAATCACCGTATTATTTCTCTACAAAACAATGCAATCACCAAACTATTTTTCAATTTGGTGGACTCTTTCTCTAAAACTCCAATTTCTCCCGTTTATCACAAACAATGAAGAACTTCTAGAAGTTTCCAGAGATTTTATTGTAATAAGTGAAACGAAACTATACTTCGGAATTGTTCGGATGTTGGGGTGCTTATGGCATAGCCATTGTTACGGCACACGAATATAACCGGGG